ATTTCGAAATGATAATCTAAGAAATTAGTTGATTATTGTTTTAACTTCTAAAAAACAATTTGGTTCCCGTCTCCTAACAACGTCGTAAAGCCTCAACTATCTGACGCCAACACTCAGGTGTCACGCCCCACCTGCGTAACCACCACCTGGTCCCACCGTGTTTTCAGCCAACATGTCGGAGCCCATAGCAATTTCTCTTGTGCCCTTGTGAAAAGCTACACAGAGTTGTGTTCAAACCGAGAGTAGTTGAATGAAATTGGGCATGTCCGCCAGCATCATGTCCATTTATCAGCCCAACACCCTTATTTCAATGTGACAGTCCAATGAATTTGTCGATCATTGTTTCAACTTCTAAAAGCAATCTGATGCAATTTTCACCACTTTTACAAATTGTTGAACACCCTTCTTCTGCCGCTGCACATAATTGTCGTTATGGTAAGACAGCTTTCAGTAAAGCACGGACGACTTGTCGACGACCAGATGGAAACGAAACGGGGCTGGAATAAAGAGCACAGATTGAACACGCAAAAAATTCAATTCACAAAGAGGGGAACGAACCACTTGGCTTCGTGTGTCCAGTAACACTGACACCGACACTGCAGACACCCTCTTCATCACACGATTTGACAATGATGCTGTAGTCATTAGAAGGTTGCAGATTTGTGATGATGCACGTTTTTCCAGTGTCATTGGTAGAGCAGTTTTGTTCCGGGGATGACTGGACGCATGCGGTGTACCTTTTAATACCCGCATTTGTTCGTGGATGTTCCCATGACACCTCCAAGGTGGAATTATCGATGGCGGTCACCTTCACACTTACTGGGTCTGAAACGCACAAATAGGGATGCAGCAGCCTAATACCAAATAATAACAAGAATAGATGGCTGGTGACATTAGACTTTTCCTTGAGTGGTAAAACGCAGCCGTTTTATATCCACTTTAAAACAATCATCTAAATGTATTCTTAAAGCGAGAATATGTACAGAGTTGATTGTTATTAAAAGAGCGCATTTTGCGTCAAGTAAGAACGGTGAACCCTGAATTAGCGTATGGGTGAACAAACCCGTGACTGTAATGCACATTTCCGTGACTAGTATGATCAGACGTCCGGCTAGACTTAGGCTGCAAGTTGTCCAAGGAAAGAAAGCAAGCAGTTAGCCAACAAATGGAAAATACAGTCAACCAACCGCTTGTTAGTGTAAGCCCCGTGACCCCTTCAGATTCTCTGCAGTCAGAATTGCTGCTTTCTTTTTCGTAGCACGCTCGAACTACAATCGTGTAATTGGTGTAGGGTGAGAGTGAGGTGATGCTGCACGTTTGTGGCGCGTCGCCAGAGGGACTGCATCCTTGTGCTGAGTGCGACTTGACTTCCGCATGATACTTAATGGTTTCAGTTCTACTTGTTGGTGGATCCCATTTTACTTCCAAGGTCGTGTCATCTTTCGCAGTCACGGTCACATTCGTCGGCTCTAAAACACAGGTAGACTTGGTAATTTAACAAAATATTTCACGTCTTTTCTTAAGCAGGACACACTTTCAAGTAACTGAATGAGGAAAAATTATCTGGTCTACATTTGGTAGCAAAATATATAAAGTTGGTGTGAAATTTTCAGCGACGTGCTTACGTGGAGGCTTTGGTTTTTCAGTGGTTGCCCTAAACAAAGAAAACGACAGACAATTGTCAATATTGTCCACTTGAGGTGCTGTTTTAATCACTAAACTATTCTGGAAAAAAAAACTTAAAGTTATGCCCAAATTTTGGAATCATTTATTCCTCTGTGATTTAGGCTACTGTCATCAGCCTTTGCTTCACCAAATCTGTTTACTGAAACGTCACAATCACTGTTATATGGAATGGCAAATCAGTTTTGACACACAAGTTAATTCATATCTTTAAGAAAACTTGTTCATGTGAATCTCGCGGATCCATTAAAGACATTGTCGTCTCTGTAGTTCCGTTTTTAAAGAATTAAATCCTCGCTGTGATTGTTACTTGCATCGAGAAGATAGGATTCATTTTTTTTCATTCACAATTAGCTGTTGAGGTCTTGGCAGTGTTACCATGGTCAACCGCTGCAGTAACAACTCACTATGCTTCACTCTACTCATTTTGAAAATCACGTTCTAATACTCAATTAAAAAGCCGAAATTAACAATGGTTAAGAGACAGTCTCCTAGGATATCAAAGAAATTAACATAGCTAAAGTAACAACATCAAATCAAATGCAACAGTAAAATTCGAACCGATTTTTAATTAAGCCTCAATGCACTGAATTCTTTAACAATTTTTTTTCTAATATAATTTAGTCACACTCTGCAGGAGTCCACAGAGAAGGCACCAGATATGGTGGCAAATTTTCACGAGTGTGGCATTACTTGAATGGTGGTCAAATGGAGCATCGTCGTAACAACTCTGACATGTTATGAATTACATCATATTAACTATCTAAATAACTATCTAAATATACGCTGATTGCCATGTTCGAACAAAGGTAAGCAATTGATCAGAACGACCCCCGACATAGAAACGTTCACAGATAACTTTGTAAACAATGCTTCAACGAACGCTGTGTACTTATTGATATTTAGTACTATTAATTTTGCAATCGCCGGCAAAGTCGATATCCTTGATTAATTTTGACGACATGCAGTTGATTACAGAGAAATTCGCTAGCGTGTAAAGTGCTTTTCAGTCCGTTGTCTGCATGCTAAGTGTGAAAAAAAGAGAGGCATTGCCAAATACCACCACACTGGGAAACAAAATCCAATTTTTAAAAAAAATGAAACCGAAGTGCAGACATAACCAGAAAGTTAATGTCCGACAAATGTGTGGATGGTATGGATGAGGGAATATTACACTGATGCAAAGTTTCTAATCAGTAGTGGTGTATCAAAACAATCTAAGGGACTAATTAC